AAAATATATATTTTTATTTAAGCCTGTTGATTAATCACAGTTTTCATTGCACTGTTAAACAATGGAATACCAATTGCCATTTATTAAATATTTTTGGATGATTTTCAAATATATTGATTTCAATTACAAAACAGAATACAAAGTGTACAGTGCTCAATTTATATTATTATTTTTATTACAAATATTTGCACTGTAAAAATGATAAAGGAAATATTTTTCAATTCACCTCTTACAATACCGTAATGCAGTCTCTTTATGGTGAAAGTGCAACTTACAAATGTAGATTATTTTTCTTTGTTACGTAACTGCAATCAAAACAAAAACAATGCAAAACTTTAGAGCCTACAAGTCCACTCAGTCCTCCTCCTTGTTCAGCCAATCACTAAGACAAACAAGTTTGTTTACATTTATGGGAGATAATGCTGCCCGCTTCTTATTTACATCACCTGAAAGTGAGAACAGGCGTTCGCATGGCACTTTTGTAGCCGGCGTTGCAAGGTATTTATGTGCCAGATATGCTAAATATTCGTATGCCCCTTCATGCTTCGGCCACCGTCCCAGAGGACATGCTTCCATGATTATGACGCTCGTTTAAAAAAAAATGCGTTAATTAAATTTGTGACTGAACTCCTTGGGGGGAGAATAGTATGTCTTCTGCTCTGTTTTCCCGCATTCTGCCATATATTACATGTTATAGCCATCTCGGATGATGACCCAGCACAAGTTATTCATTTTAAGAACACTTTCACTGCAGAGCTTTCAAAATGCAAAGAAGGTACCAATGTGAGATTTCTAAAGATAGCTACAGCACTCCCTCCAAGGTTTAAGAATCTGAAGTGCCTTCCAAAATCTGAGAGGGACGAGGTGTGGAGCATGCTTTCAGAAGTCCTAAAAGAGCAACACTCTGATGTGGAAACTACAGTACCTGAACCCCAAAAAAAAAAATCAACCTTCCGCTGGTGGCACCTGACTCATGATGATGAAAGTGAACATGCGTCGGTCCACACTGCTTTGGATCATTATCAAGCAGAACCCCTCATTAGCATAGACATATGTCCTCTAGAATTGTGGTTGAAGATGAAGGGACATATAAATCTTTACCACCTCTGGAATGTAAATATCTTGCGATGCCGGCTACAACAGTGCCATGTGAACACCTGTTCTCATTTTCAGGTGACATTGTAAACAAGAAGCGGGCTGCATTATCTCCTGCACATGTAAACAAACTTGTTTGTCTGAGCGATTGGCTGAATAAGAAGTAGAACTGAATGGACTTATAGGCTCTAAAGTTTTACATTATTTTATTTTTAATTGCAGTTATTTTTTATACATAATTCTATATTTGTAAGTTCAACTTCATTTTTTTAATTTAATTGACAGACCTATTTTTGTTACATTTAAATATGGCCATGCATTGTTTACAATCCAAACCCTGCAGCAATCACATAGCTAAGATAATTAGCATTGTGTAGCCATTTTTTGCCAACTTCCGTGATATTGGTATTTTATTTAAAGCCCCAGGTCTTGGAGTCAAGTGATTAGATGAGAATCTAGTGTCTAGCCCTCATTGGTGTAGAGAAAAGTGTGTACTTTAAGCACTCAAAAACCAGAAGGCAAATAAAAATCCCTTTTAAAAAAATCTCATGATTTAAATGATTTTTTTTAATATTTTGGGTTGGTAATATTGAATCTATGCCATTGCTTAAGCATTATTGAGAGAAGCTCAGTACTGTTATAATCTTTCTGCTATTGCAACTGGTTTTACAGCAACCGACAGCTGTAGTAGAGGATAACTAAAAAGTGTGTCCTGGAGAAGACAGTCTGTTGCTTTTGTTCCTCTGTAAAACGATGTGTCAAAGAAAAAGCCCATTAAATTAACTCAATTCAAAATGAAGGGGAGGGCTTTATTAGAGAGAACACTGTAAAGCTAGATGCTTGGAGGAAGTCGTCTTTTGGATGACTGTATGAGCATTCCCCAGAAAGCGTGTTCAGGGAAAGACTTTGTAAAAGAGAATTGACAAAGTAATCCATATTGCAAATCAGATCTATTCAAAGTAGACACAAGTTTTAAATTAAACTATTAACCATTGGAAAACATCTCCATAGAACTTCAGTGGTCTGACTTGTGAAGAATTGCATTTATGCTAAAGGTCAGCAAACAACATAAAGCAATCCTGTGTGAAAATGTGACACACACAAATTAAATAAACCTGCATCTTCCACTTACCAAAATAAGCATCCGATAGCTGTGAGGGAAAGTAGGTATCTGTGGAGCAAGGAACTTGCTTTACAATGAATATTTCTGTACTATTCCATTGTTATACTATCGTTAGATATAAATTCCAGAACGCCCCTATAAAATTATGTATCTGCTTTATACAGAGATATAAGCTCTTTGGGGCAGAAATCCTGTCCTCATATTTTTATAGCAGGAGCACCATGGAACTCCAAGTAGGACCTCTGAATATTACTGTAATATAAATATTAAATACTAATCTCAGTGGATAAGCAGTCTTCTCTAATGAGACACTTAGATTCACCCATGGATTGCGTCTATTATGTTAATGCCCATTTGGCATCCTGAAAATAAACTGAAAGACTTAATGCTTTAGTTAACCATTATGGTATATGTATAATTAAATTTTCAAGAATTATACATTAAATGGTTGGAATATTACATTTCTTCAGTTGCTGTTATATTTCATGAGATATTTAGTCTTCCATGGCATTGTAATAGTAAATGAACATTTCCATTAAAAACATTTTAACTGCTTAATAACAACTTGTCCACCTTTAGATACAGCCAGTACCAACGCATGCTGAGCACTTTATCACAATGTGAATTTTCAATGGGAAAAACTCTGCTTGTCTATGATATGAACCTCAGAGAAATGGAGAACTATGAAAAAATCTACAAAGACATAGGTAAAGAGAACTAAACTTCCTGAGTATTTGTGGTATCATCTGTAAGGCAGTCTAGTATTAAAGTTTGAGACAATTTCTGGCAGATTTAGCATCATTTGTCTACTGTTTCTACAAATATGTGTATTTCAATTTTTAATGAAAAACACCCATGCACCGGCTTTGAGCATCCTGCCAGTATTTAAAATACAAATTCAAAATGCACAAGGGAATACCATTCTATAAAGGGAATAAACATTTCCATGGGGCCATAGGTTTGAAGTCTGTGACACTCTAGTTTAGAAAATTGGCTTATTGACACTTAAGAGTACTTTTGAATCAAATACTGTTCATCTTACCTTTTGGGATTTTTGTTGTTGTTGTTTTTTCGTAAAGAAAATAGTATAGCTGCAGCGCATGAGAAAATTGCTGAATGCAAAAAGCAGATCCTGCAAGCAAAAAGAATACGAAAAAATCGCCAAGGTAAGGTGTTACTTTAGCTGGAGCAAATGCCTGTACCTAAAGTTGCCTAACTATTTCAAATCTAAATACTTACAACTTTTGGTTTTAGATTTGTCAGTTTTGCTCATTGTCCAATTCTGAGCAAAAAGGAGGTTTAGCCATCAAGGGAAAAAATCTGATTTGTTAGATTCTTACTTTTTAGGTATAATTCAATAACAGTAACATTTTTAAAAAATGCACTCAATAGTGGCTAACCAATTTGGGATGAGTACTTAGACCCCAATCCTCCAAAGATTTATGAACATGCTTCATTTTACACACACTAAATAATCACATTCAGTTTAATGGGACTACTCACAATATGTGTAGTTAAGCATGTGCTTAAGTCTTTGCTAAATTGGGATCTTAGTATTCTTCATCTTCAAAGTGTGCTAAAATTGGACAGATACTGAAAAACTAAAAGCAAAGGTTTGTTGTTTTGAGGATGGACTTGGTTTTATGCATAGTCCAAGAAATAAATTAAAAAACCAGCTATTTTTAGAGCGCGCTTGTTCCAAGAAATTACAGTAGTTTGTTTTGTGAATGTATTAATGTCAAAACAGAAATCTAGTTTATATTTCAGAATTACTTTTCATGAATAGCATTTGAAATTCTTAGGGTGTGGACATTATTGGAGGGAGGGAAAGACAGGGGGAATCCTATGTTGATGTGCAAGTATATTCCAGTTTTCTTGTACTTTCCAAACACCTCCGCTCTCTGAATCATGCAGGAGTGTGCTGGGCATTCTGGGAGTTGTAGTCCCCAGTTTGCTCAGAGGGTGATGGTAAACTACAACTCCCATAAGGGAGTGATCCAAGCACCATTTTGAAGGTGGGGTTGTTCTTTAAACGAGCCGGCGGCAATGGCTGTGTGCCTGAGAGCTGCCGCAGTTGCGTAGGGGTGTCCGAGCCCCCCACAGGGAAGGCGATGCTGCATAGAAGGACCCAGAATTGTAGCCTCCCTGCCTGGAGCGGGGAAGGAGGTACAGCAGGCGCGGAGTGCGCAGGGCTGTGTCAAGCCCCCAAAGCGCCCCCCCTCCACCTCCAGCTCCACTTCTCCCCAGAGACCTGCTGCCCACTCCGCAAATTTTTGCAGATCGGATGCAGATACACCTTTTTGTATCCGTGCAGGGCTCTACTTATGACTATCCAGAGTGACCTAAAGGACCTCCTGATGCCAACTGATAGAGGACACAGGGGTACATAAGGGTTACAGAGTGACTCTGGGCCTGATATCTACATATTCTGTAGTATCTACAGTCTTCTGATATAAGGTCTTTACGATGACCAGGGTGACACAGGCTTTCATTAATCAGTGAGAGAGAGAGAGAGAGATGGAAAATATGTAAAGAGTTATGTATATAGTAAAAATTACGTTTTCTAGGTGTATGACTTAAGTAGTCACCAAAAGTTGGTCTACATCCTCCTGTCAGGCAGGGGGACAGAGATGCTTATCTCACCCTGATTGGTCACATGCAAATTGAGTATTGTATAGTTCACAGTGGATGCCTATTTTCAGTCTGAGCAAAATGCTAATAGACTGCAAAGACTGCAAGAAAAAAATAGCAGGGGTTATCCTATTTATCACTAAGACAATGAACTTTTGAAACTAGGTGGGGTGCAGATGAACCCCCAGTTATTCAATCTATGAGGACAAGCCGGCAGGGGGCTTGATCTTAGGAGATGGGAACTTAGCCAAACTGGTTGAAAATGCTGAGGAAAGGACTTGGGGTAAGCTGTTTTGTAGGAGATAGGGGAATGCCTTGTTGGTTAAGTTTAGGCTCTAGAAAGTGTTATGATTTTGTTTTATCTATAACCATTTGTTTCCAATATTCTTACTTTCTATCACTTGAATCTCTGTTCTTTGATGATAGATAAACTTATTCTTGTTTTTGTTGTAAATATAAGTGCTGTGTTTGAAGTAATCCTGAGTTGAATCTTGCAAGGTGGGGTGTACTTTTCTTTCGGGAGTAGCGAATCCGAGTTCTCTACGTGTTCAGTGGAACCAGGCGCTGAGCACCCCAGAGGTGCTGGAGAACTTGGGAGTTTGTGTGGGCTTTTTGCTAACCTTTACACGGAGAGGTGGCCTGGAAGGCAGTGCTTGTGTCGCCAGACGCTGATTCAGGGAGCTGATTCACAGCAGGCATAGACAGGGCTTCCTCTTGTTAAGCGCATGGTAGCGAGGTGCCTCATACCTCTGGGTTCCCCTTGGAGGCATTACAGCCTTTCCTCTTCAAGGCCTTTATCCAGCACTGAGAACTATACAAGTGCACCCATGTGATTTCCAATGTAGGACTGGGGCCAAAATCCAGACTGACACACACACACACACACAGAGCCAGCAACAAGTCAGTTACTCTCCCCGTACAAACCACATCTGAGGAGTTCCCAGATGTACATTTGATCACGTCTCATAAAAAGGAGTATATTCATAATTTCAGTGGAAACATTTTAAACCATTCCCCTGCAATATTGTACACTAAAGCATTGTGCTAAGGTACAAAACTAGAAGTTATTGGAAATAAGAATCTTTCTTTGTCAAAGATAAGTAAACAGGATTATAAAAACCCAGTACATTTGTCTTACTCAGAGGCAAAGATATATTCAAATTAGTTATTTTGCCAGTATCTCTTAGCTGGATAATTTTGAACTCAAGGTTTTGAGTGCTCTTAGCTCCCATGTATTTCAGTAGAAATTCATGACACTCAGCACCTTGCAGGACTAGGTCTAGATTTAGGCTGGGAGTTAGGTTACTAGCCCTCGAAGGAATGACATTCAGTTTATGAATAGGATTTTATGATAGGATTGCTTATAAGAGCAGGAGAATTGATGATCCAGGAGGTCCCTGCCGGACCTTTATTCTTATGTTAAAGTTTTTGCTTGTGCCATGTTCCCTCTAGTTCTTGATGAAAACTTTATACACACACTGCACAAAGTTTTTCATGTGAATTTGTATATAAACTGGCCAGGCTACAGTTGCCCACGTGACTGTAGCTCTGCTCTTTAATTACAAGACAAGACTATTGCTTAAATACAGTATCATACCATCAGTTTTAAAACCATAGATGTGGTTGGGTATTTATCTAACACATGCCTTGAAGATAGAGTCAGAAACCATGTATATTTAAAGTACACAGTAAACTATACTAACAAAACAAATAGGTATAAGCGTTGAACCGTAGTGAAAAATTACTAGACTCGATAAACTACCTACCATTGTATTTATGGGCCCAACCCTACAAACCCTTAGTACTGAGTATGGGTCTTTCCACTATGAGTGGTGCTATTGACTGGATCAGGCTCTAGAAATCCTTATCCAGAAGAGTTTAAAAGTTTGCTTTTTTTTCCCCTTTCAGAATATGATGCATTGGCTAAAGTGATACAGCACCATCCAGACAGACATGAAACATTAAAGTAAGTATAGGGCTGACTGAAATGAACATAAGCCAACAGCTGTTCCGTCACTTAACATAAATTATCTTATTATGGATCTTCAGCATTTAAATCAGTTACTACATATTGTAGAGGGTTCGTTTATTAATTAACCTACTCTGCAAAATATTGTTGCTCATTCATGAGCTGCTTCAATTCTTGCGACAGAACAAATTACATTAATTGGTTTCATGTTTTGGAAACAAACTTACTTTTACATCTAAAGAGATAGAAGATGGGTAGAGCCCCATCTCAGAGGTGACATATGAGCCGCAGACCTAGACTTAACCATTTATGGAGATTCTTTCTATATTGTTAATTACAATGGAAAATGTTCTCTTTACACAGGTTTTTGCACAGATGCAAAAACCCTTTAGTCATTTTTTCATTTGTAATCTTCACTTGTGCAAACTTTGCACACCATACCTATTCAAATGGATCTCAGGTTGTTTAATATTGAGGGTGAGATAATTGTAAGCTAACTCAGTGTTGTTCATTAAGTATCCCAATTAATGCTTATTGCTTAGAAAATAGTGTCTCTTCATTCAAGTGAGTTCACTTGATTTTATAACAAGCTAAGTTTTTTTTATACTACTATTGGTGGAGGTTTTTGTACGCCATATTCTTCATTTGCTTGTTCAAAAGGGCTGCAATGTTTCTATGTTTAAAGTTTGGTATGTGGTGACTTTCTTTTAACAGGTTTATTCCTTAATATTTTAATTAACCTCCATGCATTTCTGTTCAAAAGTATTGCCATTATTTTGTATTTGAAATGTTATTTATATATTAGTGGGTGAAACTCAGATCTGCATGCTGGTGCAGTCTAGGCCCAAACTCACTGCGGACAGGTTGATCAGAAAAAGAGGGTGTAATGGCAAAGTAACGTGATTGTCACCAGTTTGGAATTCAGTAGTTGTGCAGAACATGTAACATATGTGGCAAAAGAGATGAAATAAATGAGTAGCAGGAAAGCCTCTGCTACTTTGTTTTACATCTTCCTAGTATCCGAGGGGTAGCCGTGTTAGTCTGTATCCACAAAAACAACGAGGAGTCCAGTGGCACCTTAGAGACTAACAGATTTATTTGGGCATAAGCTTTTGTGGGTAAAAAACCCACTTCTTCAGATGCATGGAGTGATCTTGTTAGTGCCTTTTCCTACAATGGCCCCACCTACTCCGTTTATAAATTACTAGTTATTTTCCAATCAGGCAATTTACACCTTCTAGCTGTCCAACTTACCCTACCTGTAACTTACATCACTGGTTATGTGATAGCTGAATTTGGACCAAAATCTGTAAAATTGGATATTTAGTACTGATCAAGGAGGAGGATGGGTTTTGACCTCACAATCTCAAATATTCTAGCACCGTCCTCTGAACTTGATTAAAGATGACAGTCACTGGGTGGGAACACTATAGTTTAGTGTTTTCACTTGAATGTTGCTTATACTTAACATATCTGGTTTACTCTGGCCACCTGCCTTTAAGTTACAAAGAAAAGCTGTCATTCTATGTTTCATGATTTTCCATATCAAATGGAAGATCTATAATTGTCTGACTTTAGAAAATACAACTACTAGGTTAATATTTTTGAGCTGGTGTAAAAATTGACACTGCATGCAGCATAGAAATTTCCTATTTAACCAGTCGTCGTGCCACTCATCACTAGAAAGCTTCTGATATGTAGATGTCAGAAGTGGCTTTAGTTTTTCAAATAAATCAGCTGGAACAGTTAAAAGGTCCATGCATATTTCTTGGAAGGAAGCCACTCTATTTACCTTACACGTCAGTCATCTCAGCACAAGTGTCCTTAGCAAATCCGTAGATAGCAGCAATAGTATTTATCAAGTTTGGTTTTCTGCCCTTTCCTTTACGTCATTTTCTCTTCCTATTATTTGTATTACAGAAATATGTGGAGGCCTTACTATGGGGTATCCATCTTATGTATTACACCCTGTACAAATACATAGGAAGAGAGAGTCCCTGCCCTGAAGAATGTATGCTCTAAACAAGAGAGACAGACTAGGGTAATGAGAGAGGATTAGTATCTCAATTATACAGGTGGGGAACTGGGACCTAGAGACTGAATGACTTGCTCAAATTAATACAGTAAGAACATGATAAGAATTGAACCAAGGTCTCCTAAATCTTAGTCCAGTGCCTTAACCACCAAGATCATATTACATAAGAGTGGCCATACGGCGTCAGACCAAAGGTCTATCTAGCCCAGTATCCTCTCTTCCAATGCCAGGTGCCCCAGAGGGAATTAACAGAACTGGTAATCATCAAGTGAATCATCCCCCACCCATTCCCAGCTTCTGGCAAACAGAGGCTAGGGACACCATCCCTGCACATCCTGGCTAATAGCCATCCATGGACCTATCCTCCATGACCTTATCTAGTTCTTTTTTGAACCCTGTTATAGTCTTGGCCTTCACAACGTCCTCTGGCAAGGAGTTACATAAGTTGACTGTGTGTTTTGTAAAAAAAAAAAAAAACTTCCTTTTGTTTGTTTTAAACCTGCTGCCTATTTGCTCTCTTGTTTCTGATGGACGCTTATAGAAATTGCTACAAAGCCAAATACTACAAGCCAAGAACCACCAATCTTAAATCAGGAGACTCGTTGAATGAAAGGCTCTTAGCTAATGAAACAGAACTGTTTTCATGGTACTCTTAATCACTGCAGAAGCTGGAGAAAAATTTGTCAGGAAAAAGATCCTGGTTTATTGTGCGTGTATATATACTGGTCATACGGCACAATGGGACACAAGTCTAGAGAAGTAATTTCTTGACAGTAAGTTATTAGAACTAGCTGTTCCAAATCCTAGAGCAGACATGAGGAGAGACTGTTTTTGACTTAATCGTCATCGATTTGAAGAGCGGAAGGGACCTGCAATCATCTATCCTGCCCTCTGGTATAACACAGTCCATAGAACTTCCCCGAAATAATTCCTATAGTACCTTTTAGAAAAATATCCCATCTTGATTTAAAAATTGTCAGTGATGGAGAATCCATCACGACCCTTGGGAAGTTGTTCCAGTAGTTAATTATTCTCACCATTAATTTATGCCTTTTCCAGTCTGAATTGTCTAGCTTTCATTTCCAGCCTTTGGATTGTGTTACACCTTTCTCTGCTAGATTGAAGAGCCCATTATTAAATATTTGTTCCCTATGTAGGTACCTATAGTCTGTAAGCAAGTCACCCCTTAAACTTCTCTTTAAGCTACATAGACAGACTCAAAGACCTCCTCACTCTAGGGCATGTTTTCTAACCCAGTAATCATTCTCATGGCTCTTCTCTGAAATTGCTCCAATTTATCTACGTCTTTCTTGAATTGCAAGCACCACAGCTGGACACAGTATTCCGGCAGTGGTCACAACAATGCCAAATATAGAGGTAACATAAACAGGGAAATCTCAAGTAGGAGTAGAGAGGTATGTATCCTATGATCACATTAGCTCTCTTGACCTCTAGAGTCACGCTGGGAGTTCATGTTCAGCTAAGCATCCTTCACAACCTCCAAATCTTTTTCAGAGTCACTGCTTCCAAGGCTGGAGTCCCCCATTCTGTAACTGGCCTACATTCTTTGTTCCTAGATGTATACACTTACATTTAGCCATATTAAAATGAATATTGTTTGTTAAGACAGCTAAACTAGGCACAAGCACACAGGATCTAATTCAAGAAGTGACAGTAAGTGAGCTAGTAGCAGTGACCACAATATAATTAGATTCAACATCCAAAGCGCAGGTAGACTACCAAAAAGTGACACTAAACTTTAGAAAAGGAGATTTCAATAGAGAGAGAAAGTTAGTCAAAAAGGCCCTAGAGCAAAAAGTAAAGGAAGTAAAAATCTCTAGACGTAACTTGGATGCAGCTTAGAAAAATAGTAAGGCTGAAGTCATGTATTGCTGAACAAAAAGGGAACTGGGAATGCAAGGTGTAACCCAGGGGTAGGCAACCTATGGCACGCGTGCCGAAGGCGGCATGCGAGCTGATTTTCCGTGGCACTCACACTGCCAGGGTCCTGGCCACCAGTCCAGGGGCTCTGCATTTTAATTTAATTTTAAATGAAGCTTCTTAAACATTTTAAAAACCTTCTTTACTTTACATACAACAATAGTTTAGTTATATGATAGACTTATAGAAAGAGACCTTCTAAAAATGTTAAAATGTATTACCGGCACGCGAAACCTTAAATTAGAGTGAATACATGAAGACTCGGCACACCACTTCTGAAAGGTTGCCGACCACGGTGTGAACCATTGTGGCTGAATGGTAAAGTTCAAGAGGCTGTTCAAGCCAAGGAGATTGCCTTCAAAATCTGGAAAATTTAACCCGAGTGAAACCAATAGTCCCTGGGGCTCTGAGGCACTATGATAATACTGCTGATAATAAAACAGGAGCATGAATTACAGCAGGCATTAAGAAAGAAGGAAATTAGAAGGGCCAAAGAGGAGTCTGAAGAACAAATGGCTCACTGCGTAAAACCAACGAGAACTTTTTAAAGTATAGTGGAAACAGGAAGCCTGCAAAAGAATCCGGGCTAAAGGGAGCAATTAAGGAAAATAAAAACATTGCTGAGCAGAAAACTGACGACTTTCCATCAGTCTTCACCACAGACAATGTTGGGTAACCTTCTGCCCCAGACCTGATATTTCCTGGTAACAAAGATGAGTTACCTTCATAGATTTGATATGGTGGAAGAGGGGTAGTGGAGCAAATAGATAATTTAAAATGCAGTAAGTCACTAGGCCAAGATGGTAGATATCCAAGAGTTCAGAAGCAGCAGGTCAGCTATTTCATACCTAAGCTAACAGAGATGTGTAAATCTCTCATTAAAAAAGCTACTGTTCCAAAGTGTGGCAAACGTTGTACCCATACTTTAAAGGCCCTAGGGATGACCTGGCTAATTATAGACCTGTAAGCCTTTCGTCCATACCTGACAAGTTGGTTGAATTGATAATTAAAACCAATACCAAAACATTTAGAAGGTCATGATCCAATAGGATCTAACCAGTACGGATTCAGCAAAGGAAAGTTGGGTCTCGCTAATCACTTAGAATTCTCTGAACGTGTCAGTAAAGTAGAGCATAAAGGGAAACCGGTTGACAATTTAATTCAGTGGCTCTCAAACTTTTTTACTGGTGACCCCTTTCACAAAGCAAGCCTCTGAGGGCGCCCCCCGCCCCATAAATTAAAAACACTTTTTTTATATACACCTCTACCCTGATATAACGCGACCCGATATAACACAAATTCAGATATAATGTGGTAAAGCAGCGCTTCAAGGGGGCGGTGCTGTGTACTCCGGCGGATCAAAGCAAGTTCGATATAACTCGGTTTCACCTATAACGCAGTCAGATTTTTTTGGCTCCCAAGGACAGCGTTATATCAGGGTAGAGGTGTATTTAACACCATTCGAAATGCTGGAGGCAAAGCGGGGTTTGGGTTGGAGGTTGACAGCTCATGACCCCCCATGTAATAACCTCGTGACCCCCCCCGAGGGGTCCCGACCCCCAGTTTGAGAACCCCTGATTTAATTAGACTTGCAAAAGGCCTTCACCACAGTCCTTCACAAGAGGCTACTAGAGAAACTCAGTACTCATAGGTGAGAGGAAAAGTATTCTCTTGAATCAAAAACTGTCTGTGAGAGAAAGCAAAGAGTAGGATTAAATGGTCAGCTTTTATCATGGCAAAAGTTTAACGGCGGGAGTCTCAAGGGGCAGGACTAGGTCCAGTGTTTAATATACCTGGAAAGGGGTGGAGGGTAAGTAGAGAGGTAACAAAATGTGCAGATGACAAAGTTATTCAAGATGGTCAGGACCGGAGAAGACCATGAGGAACTTGAAAAGACCTAAACAAGCTAGGTGAATGAGCAACACCATGGCAGATAAAATTCAATGTTGATAAAGGCAATTGAAGGGGAAAAATGTAAACTACTTATCTCCTACAGGATTCTAAATTAACTGCATTAACCCAGGAAGGGGATCTGGGAAATCACTATACACTGCGTAATCGGGACCAACTGCTGACAGAAAAAACAATGTGAGGAAGCATAAGGAATGGGATGGAGAATAAATACTGAAAGCATTATAATGCCTTTGTATTAGTCAGTGGTGCACTGTCCTAGCAATACTGGTCACCTGATCTCACAAAGGATATCGCAGAACTGGAAGAGGGTCAGAGAAGAGTGACAAACATGACCAAAGGCCTGGAAAAACTCTCGGGTGATGTGTGGTTGAAGAGGCTGGGATTGCTTGGTTTAGAAAGGAGATGGATAAGAGGGGACGTTACAAAAGTACATAAAACAGTAAGTGTTATAGAGAAGGTAGAGCAAGAGCTTCTGTTCTCCCATATAATGCAAGAATAGGGAGGCATATTAAACTGAAAGGTAGGAAATTCAAAACCAACAAAAGGAAATTCTTTTTCACACGTCTTAAGCTGTCGCACTCATTGCTACAAGAAGTCATTGAAGCCAAGAATTTAACAGTTAAAAAAAGTATATGGATTAAGAATATCCCGAGTTATAATTAATGACCACACCATTTTTTTGGAAGGAATATTAAACCTTGTGCTTTGGGACTTAAGCCAATTTCTAACTATTAGAGAGTGGGGTGAGACCTAATGGCGGGGGATGGCAGATTATTCCACATATGCCTATTGCAGGGTTCTTATGCTATGTCCTAAACTAAGCATCTGGCTCCAGCCACTATCAGAGATGGGATACTGAACTAGATGGACTTTCGGTCTGATCCATTCTGGCAATTCTTGTGTTCCTATATGGAGTATGTAGTTATTTCTTATATGCTCCACTGTGCCCTTCTGTTACTGCTCTTGTAAGACACAGGAGTTGATGAAGTAGTGCATTCATGTGAAAATATCAGGGGTATCTTGTGGAGTTTGTTTCTTCCATTTCCAGGCATTTTTAATCAGACAATCCAGTATTTTAGCAAAGCCACAGAGAATGATTCAGTTATTTTTAATAATTCACAAAAGTTGTGTGTAATTTGTTATTACACTGTTTGTACTGTGACAATTATTGGAATTTATTTGCAGGCAGCTAGAAGCTTTGGGAAAAGAACTTCAACATCTTTCTCACATTAAAGAAAATGTTGAAGATAAGGTAGGAGTATTCTTTTATTTTGGTATCTATATTTATATTCATATGAACATAATTATGAGAAATCTACTGAAAGCTTCATAGTTCATGTATATACTCACTTAATTGGCCATACTTTAGTTGGTGGGTTGTGTTCTTTGTCATTCTAGCTGGAATTGAGACGAAAGCAGTTCCATGTGCTTCTGAGTACCATCCATGAACTTCAGCAAACTTTGGAAAGTAAGTGGTTCCTAAATGAAAATATATGGGGTCAAATTCTCCTCTGCTTACTCAGGAGTAGTTCTATTCTAGCCAGTGAGACGATTTCCATGAGTAAGGGGAGCGGAATGTCTTTTTTCCAATTAGCGTATACAAAGTAATGCCTTCTAGCACTGAAATTATTAAAGTTGTAGTAGTATCTGTATTTCCTATATTAAACTACTGCATTCAGCACTACTTAAGTCAGAGAATCTTTTTCTAAAATAAAAAAAGTCTTCTCAAAATTTATTCTAAGAGCCAGCTATGATGGAGTAGAGTAGGGGCAAACCTTTCATAGTTTTTAATAAACTCCTTTGAAATGTGATTGTAAAAATAGTGACACATCTGTTACCCTTCAGAGCCACAATATAAAAATATGTTCATAAATATTTATTGAACTAACCAAAAATGGTCTCTATCTAAGTTACTGATATGGCTCCCATTTCTGTAGTGTTGGACATCTCAATCCATACTGTATTTATCCTCACAACACCCCTGTGACATAGGTAAATTAATAGGGAACCAAGGCCCAGAGAGACTGGGTGACTTTCCCAAGGACATGCAGGAAGTCTGTGGCAAAGCAGGGAACTGAACTTGGGTCTCCTGACTCCCACAGTAGCGCCTTAACCACTAGGCAATTCTTTCTGATATAATCTTCATATAGTATACTCTGAGGCCAGATATGTACCTATTCCAAACAAGACATGTTCCTGTCTTTCCAAGGTTGAATATCTGGCATACTAAGGCTACAGTTTTGTCACGGAAGTTTTTAATAAATTTCACAGCGGAAGTGCAGATGAAAAGCATTAAATGAGTCAGGTATTAGTACTGCTCTGATAAAAGAGTTCAGAAGGTGAGAAGCAAGGACATTCGTAATGGAAGCCGATACATAAACTTTGTGCATTGATATTACAGGATTTTTCATATACAAATACACAAACACTAATTGCTGTAGTAGCTGAAACAGAACCAATTCAGGGGCAAATGTCAGCCTTAGCTTTGAATTAGTGTGTTTTCCCTTTTTTGTGTCACAGTCTTAGTTATTTAATATTCTGTATAATGCAGCGCTAAACCACAGATCTAAGCCCACTAACACAAAAGATTTTTAACTGGGATAACATTCTCCAGTACAGTTTATATATAAATATCAAGTCTAATCTGAGCATGTTTGAATAACAGACACAATCTACATTTCAGATGATGAAAAACTTTCAGAAGCAGAGGAATCCCAAGAAACTCACATGGAAGCAGAGACTAAACAATAGACAGACTTTGGACTTACCTGAGAATTTCCATAGCTCTTGAACTTTTTTTAAGAAATAAAATCTTGCTGCCACTTCTGTGAATTTGTATGAATACTTGTTTTGTTAGTGCTACAGTCAAACAGTTACTGATCAGTAAAAAGCCTTCATAGACAAAGTGTGGCCAGGCACTGTATTTGTTTTAATACAAAAAGCTTTATATTTTGTGAACTAGGAAAATATTTTAGGCTTTTAAGTTGCAGAGTGAAACGTTTCTGTACGGTAATCAGCTACGATGATAACAGTGTTGGAAATAAAACGTGTTTACAAATAATTTTCTCTTTTTTCTTTTTAGGCTAAAAACCTAGATTTACAATAAAGTATTAAGGCCCTGATCCTGCATTGAGCCCACCAGTCAGGATTCCTGTACCTGCGTGCAGTCACAGTCATGCCAGTAGCCTCTACTCATATGCAAGAGTCCACACTAGTGGACCCAGATGCAGGTTTGGGATCTAAGTCTGGACCAAATGGTTTACTTGTCGTTTTCCAGCGTAGCAGCTATGTGTAGTGCATTTTAGAACCCACCAATGAGAGTTAGTAATTACTCCTTCGTTTCAAATACACTATAAACCTTAAGAATCAGCTCACATTAGTATATGAAAGTTGGGTCACCGACAGCTTTAAATCACTAACATCTTAAGGCATGTCTAGACAGCAGTTTAGTGAGCAGTGAGCTAGAGTGTAAACAGACAGCCTATCGTGCTCTACCTGGCCACGTGGACCCTGCTACCGCACACTTAAAAGGTCCCTGGTGCACTTTCATCTGCTCGACTTTGAAATGGAAGTAGATCAAAGCGCACGATGGACCTTGTCGTGCACAGCAGCAGGGGGCACATGGCCAGTTAGCACACAGCAGGCTCGTGCTGTAGATTTGCTGCAAACTAACTGTCCATATAGACAAGCCTTTATTGTACTGCTACTATTTATTGGTACAGTAACTCCTCATTTAACGTTGTCCCACTTAACGTTGTTTCAATGTCACGTCCCTGCTCCATTAGGGAACATGCTCCTTTAAAGTTGTGCCATGCTCCCTTAGAACGTCGTTCGGCTGCCTGCTTGTAAGATTCTGTGGAAGAGCAGCGACTTTACAAGGGAGCATGGCACAAATTCCGCTTCTCCGCCTCCTCCCTCTCCCTCCCGGTGCTTCCCCCACCGCCAAACAGCTGGGAGGGAGGGGGAGGAGTGGAGACGCGGGGCCCTGCTCCTGCCCCTCCCTCCCAGCACTTCGCGCTTAGGACTTCCTGGGAGGGAGGGGCAGGAGTGGGGAAGCGCTGCATCTCCACTCCTCCCTCTCCCACCCAGAAAGTCCTAAGCGCCGCCAAACAGGACTTTGTGGGGGGAGGGATATGGCGTGCTCCGGAGAGGAGGTGGAGTGGGGATGGGAAGAGGTGGGCCTAGAGTGGAGCGGGGACAGGAAGAGACAGGCTTGGAGCATTCCCGGCAAAATCCGAGCCTGTCCTCTGGGGAAGCTGCCGCTGCTGCTGTAAAGGTGCTTCCTAGCATCCTTGCCTGCAGCGGGCTGTGCCTGTGTGGGGTAAGCCAGAGGCACTTCCCCACCACACTACAGTACTGTACAGTATACAGTATAATGCCTTTGGTCTGCCCCCAAAAAATTTCCTCGGAACCTTACCCCCCGCATTTACATTAAATCTTATGGGACAATTGGATTCGTTTAACGTTGTTTCACTTAACGTTGCATTTTTCAGGAACAGAACTACAGCGGTCATTGAGGAATTACTGTATTGTAGTATCAGAGGGGTAGCCGTGTTAGTCTGAATCTGTAAAAAGCAACAGAGGGTCCTGTGGCACCTTTAAGACTAACAGAAGTATTGGGAGCATAAGCTTTCGTGGGTAAGAACGTCACTTCTAGGAACCAGGTATCCAGGCCCCATGGTGCTATGCTCCCACAACATAGACACAACCAACACCCACAGTGCTTATGGGCTAAGTAACATACTTAATATAATTTGATTACCACAGTTAAGGATGAAGAGGATCTAATACAATTTGCATTCAGAGTCTGTCCTGCTTTAACTATATCAACAGTAATTGAAAGTTAAAAAAAAAAATCTATAATATACATGACCTCAGTTAGTTAGTTGCAATATAATATAAAATCCAATATATTAGCGGACATGGAAATCAGTCAGTTACAGGTGTTTCCATTCATTCTCTCCTTGCAGAAATTAAATTTATTAATGACTATTCTAGGAGAACCTTATCAAATGTGGCATTAATGAATCTGACACTTCCTCCTGGGTTAGTACAGAGCTAATATCCCAGTATAGCATTTGAGGGCATTATCGCTTCTTGGCTCTCTGTGAACTGAGGGGTGAAAACATTTTCTACAGGCTGTCTTGATCTTGTGTGATCGTTGAAGGGGTCATGGCACTTTTTGCAAGAGTAAAAGTGTTAATAGTGGTGTCGTGGCCAAATTCCAACTTTTGTAACGACATTCTGCTCATTTAGTTTTCTTCTGTAGCTTGTAAGATAAAATATTCTATTCCTGTCCAAAACCATTACATAATATTAATTACCATGTAACATTCTGTATCCAGCTGCTTTTTAGAAGTTGCTAATGTAAAACATACACAGTAGAACTTTAACTTGAAATATTGACTGGGTTACCTATTGTTAGTTACTGAATTTTGCAAATTAAAGAACAAAACCAAGTCAGATTTAATTGTTTTTAAAGAGACACTAACTTAAAGAATAATTTGTTCTGACTAGTATAGTTCAGTTATTGTTTCCTAATAGTATATGAATTAGTAAGTATTCTGTAGCGTATTGTGTAAGAGCAACAACGCTTAGTAATAAACTTCACTGCAGTACAGTCATTGCTAAGAAGTCAGTGGAAGAGCCCTGTCTTCAATACACAAATTATGGAGATTGAAAATTGGCAAGGCTCATCCGTTGTTTGTAAAGCAAGTTGGCATCTTTTGTAGACTAAAGGCCCTATCTATAAATATAGATCATTCTCACTACGCTAGTATGTTGAATTTTAAATGCTTTTACTATTTAAAAAGGGTCTAAGCAACAGCATGTGCATGGGAAATGCATATGTTTTAGTTTATATGTCTTCATGGTTCTTTTAGAAGCCAATTGAAAATGCTTAGATGATTGAAGTATCTCCTCTCCCAGAAACTCTCACTGCTGGAATTCTGCATGTTTCTGGGTCAGTAAATCTATGGACTTTTCAGTTACTTTTTCTAAGCGATCATCCACCTGGTGTGGAACACAAATTAAAATGAAACAATCTAGTGTACAGATTGAACCGCAAATTCCTGGATGCTGGACAGAAGATAAGTGGTTTGAGTATAGATGTAAGTAAAGTTACATTTTCTAATTCAATTTATGGTGATGCAATGTTGAAATAGTTACCTTCCAAGAAAATCAAGAGTCCCTATTTAAGTCATCTACAAAAGATTGGTGGGGATAAGGAGCCACCATGTTATAACTAGATTTAGTTAGGGAGAGTTAGTGTCACAGTTAAGATAACCAACTGATTTCTACATTTACTACCGTTTCAAATAGTACTACGTTAAAGTAAACTAGGCAACTTTTAGTGTGTGACAGCAGCGTCCACACAGGCCAGTTAGTACACAACACATTAGTGTGCACTAGAATTTACACCACTCCAGTGCAAACTACCACATCATGTAGACAAACCCTAAATCTACTTCCGTAGCATCAGTTTTTTAGCAACACATTTCAGTTCCAGTCTGCCATGACTATCCTGAGAATATGTAGTTGAAACCCCCCCTTATTCTTCTGATTGAATTCCTCCTTCTGTGAACTGTTGAAGCACAGATGAGATACTCTCTGCCCTTGTTCTGGAAACTTATCCATTGTGATGTTGCTTACCTGAGTGGCTTCCACATGTACAAATATAAAATGCACTTGGGATCCCAGCTACACACTATACTACATTTTTTAAAATGGAGATTATTCCTACCATTCTAGCCTGCTTTTTGTGCTTCTCTCTCTGAGGTGGTAGACTGTGTGTTGCCATGATACTACGTCCTAGTCCCACCGTCACATGGACATTGAATACCAAACAGAGGAGACAACACCACAATAATTTTTAGAAGGGATAAAACTGATATTTCCTACACTGGGGGGTTTGTTTTTAAATTAAAAAAAAGTTATTGTATTCTACTGCAAACTGCCTGGGGCGCAATTTGAATATTAGGCATAGCTAGGGAACAGGGGCAGAATTTTTAACTTAGAAAAACAAGCATGTGATGTAACTTCATGCACTGACAGAATAAGCGGTCATGGTGACACCAGTGCCAAGTGATACTATCACTGCCCCTTCGTGAATCTATGGTAACTTGAAGCTACAGCTAAGAAAATTGCAAAAACACAGGTTTAAGATACGTGGCATTGCACTAGAGAGATTACTAATTATTTTTATTACAGATACCTGCATTTGAAGCTTTCCAGCTGTCACACCTGAATGATACGGCAGCGTCCGCTCATTCTTTTTCTTCTTTTTGAGGCCTAGAAAGTTTCCCCTCTTTTTTGACAAACAAGGAACCTGAAAACAAAAAATGTATTCAGACAAGGCTAGCTAGTGTGGCTTTGGGAGGTCTAAAAGAATTATTTTTGTTTTATGGTATCTGTAAGTTGTATTTCTTATAAAATGGGAGATACCCAATATGTAAAAAGCATTAGACACTGAATATGCAGCATAGAGAAAAAGCAAGTCACCAATAGAAAAATATGTTCTCATTCCTCCCTCATCTTCCTATTTTCAAGCATTTGTTCTTGGTTTACCTTGACCTGCCACTGCTGAAACTCTTATTCATAATTTAGGGATAAATTGTGCTACAACCTTGAAGCAGCTGGCACAAGGAGATGGGATACTAGCAGTGTTCTGCTGCTTTACCTCCATGGCACCTTGCATGTATGGTGGGATATCTCAAACCAGCCTACCGCAAAGCACTTCTGGGTGGTGTTTACTACTCCTCTCCAATGAAGTAATTGAGACATATGTTCAGTTACTGTTCATAACGTGGCACGTACAGATGATGTTGCCTGGGGGCTAAACATACCCTTTATCCTCCAACTAAGACCTTGAAGTCTATGGTCTATGCAGGTAGGTACATTAATTGGGCTGCCACGGTAGTGTGCTATGAGAGCATCCCACTTGACTATTCGAGCAGGAGTTAAAAGCTCCTTACATCATTTCCCATCTACTCACTTCGTTTGGCAGTCTTAGATGGTAGTAACTGTCCTTTTTGGAGAAGAGAGAGGAAGTTAGTTGAGATGGGCTGGATCTGGTGCTGTCAAAGTCCAATCCTGTTTTCTAGAAAATAAAAACCAGACAAACACTCAAAAGGGGAAAAAGAAGAGCAAAGATAGAAAATGGAACTTGGGTCTCTGGTGTTGGCGTTCACTTTCCCCCTCACTGTTGGAAAAACACCAGCACAGCACAGGCTCTTACCAGCCACTCTGAGACCTGGCAGACTGGTACCAGCGATGGGCTGTTTAAGGCATTGCTTTTAGCTGCTTCCTTCTGGTCACAGGCTTACAGCAGTGTTGCAAAATATGCAGTCTTAGGTGACTAAGCCAGAATCTTATTAAACAGAAGGCAAAAGGAGAGAGATTGGAAAGAAATGAAGTAAGGTGGGGAAGGAAAAAGGATACACCGAAGCAGGCCGGGAAAGAGATGAAGTCTCATATTTCAGGTGGTGTTTCATGCTGGTGGAGATCTGGGTCTCTCTCTCTGGTCCAGTGTGGTCAGGGCATCTCTCAGGATTAGGACAAGGAAGTTCCAGGACCCCAGGAGACGATGGGGGTGGCAGACATGAGGGTGAAGCTTGTTCCTTCCCCTTCTTTTGTCGTTCAGTCAGGCAGTATTGCGGGAGCCAGCTTTTCCCCACCCTCTCTTTCTGAGGACCCCAAAAGGGGGGTGATGGAATAGCCCATCTCGGCCGTATTTTGGCCCAGTTTCCAACACACCCATTTTGGTGAGCTGATTTCTGATTCCACACTTTTCTCATTTACCAAGCCTGGTTTTAAATACAGTCCTCAAGTTGCATCAGTAGGCTTTTTTCTTTGGGCTAATTCAATCTCTCTCGCATTTGCTTATTTTCCCCACCACTGTTTGTTGTTCTCAGTTATTGTGACATTTTATGAACTTTCACTCACTTCTTACAGTTGAGCTCACAATTAGGGTAAGCTTGTCGGCCCAATTATCGCAACAGGCCCCTAGTCTATTCTTCTCCCAGGGCCCTCGCTACTCTCTCGCTCACACAATCTCCCCTTTTGGAGCTATTCCACTTTGTATAAGTAAATATTCATCTGGCCACAGAGAGTTTACATGGAATTTTTGTTTTCTGGCCAGCCCTAATAAATGGCAACCCAGGGAAGATCAAGGCTATGCAAGTGTGGGCCTACCATTAGGGGTAACCAGCAGGTGGTGCTGGTCTCCGCTCATTCCCCACAGCGAGAGCTTGTCGTGAAAGCAGTTTTTCCTGGAACATTTCACACCTCTCTCTGTAGGTTTCCCAAAGGAACCATGTTTAAATTTATTTATTTGTAAGCATTTTTGTCAAAAGTGTTTCATTTCTGAAGTTTTTCCATGTTTGATTTTTCCATTCCCGCCCACCTCCACGGTCATTTTTCCATTGAAGAAAAAAATGGAAGATTTTGAAGGTGTTTTTTGTGAAAAATTTGGATTTTGAAGAGAGCCTTTTCTGACAAAGTTATTTGGCTCCGTTCGTGACCTGCTCCAGCCCAGCCAGGGGCATTCAGAATCCCTGCTCCCCTGCCTCTAGTCCAGGGGGTCTCAAGCTGGGGGTCGTGAGCCCTCAGGGGTTGGCGAGGTTATTACGTGGCGGGTTGCGAGCTGTCAGCCTCCACCCCAAACCTTGCTTCGCCTCCAGCATTTATAATAGTGCTAAATGTACAGTGTTTTTAATGTATAAGGAGGGGTGGAGGAGGTTTCCCTCAGAGGCTTGCTGTGTGAAAGGGGTCACCAATGCAAAAGTTTGAGAACCACTGCCTCTGTGAGGCTGCTCTCTGCCTCCCACCCCTGCTGGCTGACTACTTGCTGCCAGAACTCCCCTTGCTGGTCAAGACATGAAGAAGGATCTCATGGATGACTGAGCGGCACAGACACGGTCTTCCCAGGTGGGAGCTGGGAAGGAGAGTCTACAGGGGCAGGGAATTGAATGAGGAAAATATTCTGGGTCTGAGCCTCCAATCAGGCAAATCTCCCATTGACTCCAGTGGGGCCTGCACACACAATTTAATAAAAGACATTTATTTTAGTTGTCTGACCATCGTCAAAATTCTACCGTTTGGAGTTCAGCTGTCAGAGATGTCACCGACAAGTGTCTCCTGGTTTGCCTTGCTCTCACAACCGTGTTTTCCCCAGTTAACCTCTCTGCTTGTTCCTCCAGGACGTTCACATCCAGCTGGATGGTTGCTTTGAAAGAAAAGGAGATGGAGAGAGTTTAGAAACATCACAGTGCCATTTCTGAGCTAGAGATGGGCAGCTCAGCCGACATAAAATAATTTGTGTTCTTTATATTCTCCTTTTCCCTCATCTCAGTTCTTCCTGTGCTGTGACACACACACTGAACACTTGGAGGCTGGCAGTACTAATGCTGGATGGGCTCAGTGAAACCTTTCATTACTTACTAATCCCTTCCAGGGACAGCTCTGGTGACCGACCTGCTCCTCTTTATCTCCTGTTCTAGTTCCAGTAGCCAAACTCGCTCACGTCCCAGTGTTAACATCAGGAGCTTCTTGATAGAAACTGACTTTGTGTGTTATTTTCAAAAGGTGTGTCACATATGTTCTTCTTTGAGTGATTGCTCATGTGTATTCCATAGTAGGTGTGCATGCTTGCCACGTGCACCGGTACCAGAAGTTTTTCCCCTAGCAGTACCCATAGGGGGGAGCGCCCCCCACAACCCTGGAGTGGCGCCTGCCTGGCGCGGTATAAAGGGAGCTGCGTGCTTCCCCCACCCTCAGTTCCTTCTTGCCAGACAGCTCCGGCAGCGGGGAAGGAGGGTGGGATGTGGAATAGACATGAGCAACACATCTCGAAGAACATCAGTTACGGAAAAGGTAATTCTCTTTTCTTCTTCCAGTGATTGCTCATGTGTATTCCACAATAGGTGATTCCAAGCTATATCTGCTGGAGGTGGATAGGAGTACACAGACTCTCAGGACGGAGCACAGCCCTGCCGAACCCAGCACCCTTCCTGGTCTGGGAGACGATCACATAATGCGAGGTGAAAGTGTGAACTACAGACCATGTAGCAGCCCTACAAATGTCCTGGATGGCGACATGGGCCAAAAAGGCGGCCATGAGGCCTGCACCCTAGTTGAGTGTGCCCTCACAATTGACGGCAGGGGGATTCCCGCCAGGTCATAACAGGTACGGCTACACAATGTGATCCCGTTGGAGAGTCGCTGAGTGGAGATCAGCTGACCCTTCATGCATTCGGCCGAGGCGATGAACAGCTGCGAGGATTTTCTGAATGGTTTTGTCCGCTCCAGGTAGAAAGCCAGAGCCCGTCGCACATCCAGTGTGTGGAGGCGGCGCTCCTCACTGGACGCTTGGGGCAGAGGACCAGCAGGAAAATGTCCTGTGGTAGCCGGAGACCACCTTCGGGAGGAAGGAAGCCATGTGGTAGCCGGAGACCACCTTCGGGAGGAAGGAAGGGTGTGGGTGGAGCTGGACCTTATCCTTCTGGAACACCATGTACGGGGGTTCAGAGGTCAGGGCCCTGAGTTACGAGAACCGTCTAGCTGACGTGATCGCCACCAGGAAGGCTACCTTCCATGAGAGGTGCAACCAGGAGCATGTAGCTAGCAGCTCAAACGGGGGGCCCGTGAGGCGGGCCAGCACCAGGTTCAGGTCCCACTGTGAGACTGGGGGCCTGACGTATGGGAGGAGACAATCCAATCCCTTAAGGAATCGGCCAGTCATAGCATGGGAGAACACCGTGTGGCCCTGCACCGGCGGGTGGAAGGCCGATATGGCTACCAAGTGCACCTTGACCGACGAAGGCGCCAGGCCCTGGGCCCTAAGGTGAAGGAGGTAGTCCAAAATGAGCTGGATCAGGGCAGCCAAGGGGGAAACGCCCCGCTCATCTGCCCATCAGGAGAACCGAGACCACTTTGCCACTTTGTGCATGGAGGGTCGCCTACCACAACAACCTGTAGTGTACCTCATCCAGTGCCCTACATGCCCCAACAACTATGGGGGCGATACCCGATAAGCATTACCCTCTTGAATGAACTCACACAGAAAAGTGATAAAAGACAAAAAAACACACACATCACCCATGGGCAAACACTTTCCACAAAGCGAGCACTCCATCTCTGACCTCTCAGTCCTCATCCTCAAAGGAAACCTTGACAACACCACCTCCCAAAGGCAAGCTTATTTTACAGAATCACCTCTAGAAATGAAGGTTGAATTGTAGACCAGTGCTGCTGATTTCTTGGAATGAAAGTGTGCTATTAGTCAGCAACTACACTTTATTCAATGAAGTTGCCATGCAGTATCAAACAGCATATCTAACGGAAGCCTGCAAGATCTTGCACCAGTTCTGGAGTGTACATAAGAAGAACCGTTGGTCTGACCTAGTATGGTCAGTCTAGCCCAGTATCATGTCGTTCAGCAGTGGCTAGTGGCAGATGCTTCAGAGGGAGTGAACAGAACAGGGTGATCATCTAGTGTCCCAATCCCTGTCATCCATTCCCAGCAGCTGGCATTCAGAGGCTTAGGGACATCCAGAGCACGGGGTAGCCCCCTCTGAAAACCCTGATCGAATGTATGCACATGTAAACCTCAAACTCAGAACTTCTACTATATTTTAGTACAGTTGTTAACAAACCTGAAGATTTCTGGGGCTTCTTAAAGGTCAGTATTTGTTTCAGAGCCATGTTAGCTCTCATGAACCTAGTCCTGTATTTCATGGACACACTCAGAAGACCTGGTTCTGCTACGGAGAAGAAAATCCATCACTGAGGTTAATGAGAGGGTGGAACTGAGGCACAGAGAATCAGGACTGATCCCTCATTCAATGTTAAATTACCATTCTGAGAAAGTTTCCATGTTTTCATTTTTGGAAATCCTCTGGGAGATGTCAACGCCTTAATTATTTTTGGAAGATGTGCTCCATGTGCTCCAGAAAAGCCACCTGCTCTGTAGCTAGTTAGATTTACAAGGCCGTCATCATGTAGTTTGAGTTTTTTAATATGTTCTTCGATAGAACGGAAGCATTTTTCCCCATTGTTGTCCTCATATGCGTCATAAAACCTTTTTTCTCATTTTCACAGATTTCAAGACAACCTGAGTCACTTCCACTGGAGGAGTCGTCATCTTTGGGTATCAGGAGATTTTATTTCAGTCAGTTAGTAGACACAGCTCTGTGCCACCTGAGACAAAGAAAAATGACTAGTAATTACATGCAGTAAATATAGAATTCAAATACCTTGCGTCTGACACAAAGGGTTTTTTTAAAGTCCTATGTCTAACATTGGGCCTAACCCTTACAAGAGCTGAGCATCTACAAAACCCATTAATGGGTGACTCGCTGGCCCTCATGAAATTACCGGGACAGCCACTAAACTTCAATGGGCTTTTGTCCATTTTTTCCTGTTATGGCCTATTGAAAATGTAATGACCATAAAGAAGTTTCAAATTACTAAAAGGTGGGAAGAAAATAAATGTTCACCTCTGACATCCCCACAAATGCCAATATCCCAGAAACCCAGCACGTTGTATTTCAATCCCGCACCATTTTTTTCTTCTGTGAAGTATGGTGAACACAGAAAAGGAGTTTTAAAGTGAAGCGATGTTTTGAAAGTTGGTCGGAAGTTCACTTCTGAAAAGTTTTCTAACATTTTTCACAGAGAATCTCTCCGGGCTAGCAAAATGCCGACATTTCTCTTTTGTTTGGTTGATCTGCTGCCAAGGAGAATAGTACTTTGGGTGTGGGAGGTGGGGAAGCACTTAAGCATGTTCTTAAGCAGTAACTTCAATGGAATTTAAATGCTTTGCTGAATCAGAGCTGTACTGGGGAAGTTAAACTATATATGAAGCGGTTTGTAAAAACCCTGCACTAAGGAAAGCAGGAACCGGGCTCACTAGGAACTAGCAGAACGTTGAGCAAGAGGTAAGTACTTGCCCACACCATGTAGTCAGGAAGCAAGAACTAGGAAACGACTAAAAAAAAGATGAATAAGGCCATGTCTACAGGAGGACACTCAGGAAATCCGAATTAACTGCACTAAACCCCTGTGTGAGCACTTCTAGATAGAATTAAAGTTGCCTTCATTTGGTTTTAACTGAATTAAGGCCACTTCAATTCTGAATAACTATCCACACAGGGATTTAATGCAGTTCACTGATCCACTTTAAATTCACACCTTTAGTTAATTCAGATTAATTTTACTGGAGAGTCCTTAAGGCCCTTGTCTACATGGGAAAGTTATACTGGAATAAAAGGGGCTTATATCTGTATAAGAGTGGCTTTTTGGCTGGTTCAGTTTATGCCATTTGGCAAGGCGTTTGAGCTAAACCAAAAAAATTCACTCTTCTACCGGACTAAGAATGTCCAAATGGGGGTTTACACTGGTATATAGCAGTTTAAATTCACACCTTAACTTAGACCTTGTCTAGAAAGGAAAGCTCTTTTTGGGGCGTATAAACTGTTTGTTTCCTTTCCTACTGACTCAACCTTAAGCAATGTGTTTCTTGCTGGGTTTGAACCAGGCTGAAGCAAACGCTTGATCTGGCTGCACATTCAGAAGTATTTCCTCCAGGCTCTACACAGAGGTACATTCATCTCACCATGGCAGAATGCAGTATCGTGTTGCTTTTCCCCCCCCTCCCTTTTCATTACCCGACAGCCTGGGCCACAATACTCTTAGGCTGCATCTACACTACCCGCCGGATCAGTGGGTAGCTATCGATCTATCAGGGATCAATTTATCGCATCTCATCTAGACACGATAAATCAATCCCCGAATCGACGCCCGTACTCCACCTTGGCAGGAGGAGTAAGCAGAGTCGACTTGCCATCGTGAGGACGGCCAGGTAAGACGAACTATGATACTTTGACTTAGCGTAGCTGAAGTTGCGTATCTTAGATCAATCCCCGTCCCCAGTGTAGACAAGCCCTTAGTCATTGTGATGTTTGTTTACATTTCCAAAAAAAAAAAAAATGCTAGGGGCAGAATGAAGATTGGGGAGTTGGTGCTAGTCAGATGGGAGGGGAAAGGTTTAAATGCAGTGGGAACTGGCTAGGTCTTTTAACTGTTTACCAGGCATTTTAATGTTTAGGGGGGATTAGAAGATGGATAATTTTTGTTTAAAAAAAAAGTAATGTTGGGAGTTAGCTGAACTCCACTGAAGCACACGGTCAGCATGAACTCTTTTGTAGCCAAGTTGCTTCTCTGTGAATTTAGAATAGTCCTGGTATTCGCTTAAACCTCACCTCTGCCACTGTGGCTGCAAATATCTTAGTAGTGGTCTGGCAGGTGGCGTGCACCGAGATCTCAGCTTCTGATGCTGGCCAGGATTGTCTCATTGTCTTCCCCCCCACCCACCCCATCTGTCTGTTGTAGCCGATGGTTGTCTCCTGTCTTCTCCTTAGTTTGTAAGCTCTCTGTGGAAGGGACCATCTTTTTATTCCACGTCTGTACAGGGCCTAGACCCATGGGGTTCCCATCCATGCCCAAGTTTAAGTGTTACCACAATACAAATAAAAAAGTAAACATGCCACAAAAAAACTCTGTATTGACTGTAATAGGACAGGAAATACATACAGTGTTTAATGAGTGGTGAACTATTGGTTGTTACATGTGGATCATTTGATGGTTACCTGTTCTGTTCATTCCCTCTGGGGCACCGGGCATTGGCCACTGTCGGAAGACAGGATACTGAGCTAGATGGACCTTTGGTCTGACCCAGTATGGAGTTCTTATGTTCTTATGAGTAATCACAACATCTCCACTACCTTTGTCTATTGCATTGAATATTTTGTAAGTTATACCTTATAAGCTGTGCCAAAAATAATAAAACATATTTTGATCCTCCAAGTCTTTATGCTTATGATGTGGAGGCAAAAATATCTAATCCCAACTCAATATGTAAGTTTATTATTAAGTCTAAAACCCATTCAGGCAGGGAGTAAAGAGATCTGTGTTGTTTGAATTGAAGTATTCCAGATAACAGCTGCAATTTTGTATGAGCTGAGATTTTCTCCAGTTACCTTGTATGCATTCTCAATGCCTTAACTCAGTGGGGATTTTCCATTTGTTTTAAAGCATGAGGTGAAAATTGTATAATAACTTTCTCCCTTTAAAGACCAATGCATCAAACATACTGGGCCCTGTTTCAAAGTATTATAGCTATCCCCTTGCATTCTACCAGATCATGATATATAGCTGCATTGAAGTCATTAGTATTACTTACCTCTCAATCCCATTTTTCTTTTTGATATGCGGTATTTTATCATCATCATGTGCCCCTTTTCTGTAGCTCCTAAAAGAGTTGGAAAAATGCATTTGCCTATGGTGCATAGTTAGTTCACTGCAAGCTAATTGACTAGTATAGATTCTCAGCATCCTAATAGCGACACTTTTAAACTGTCTGATCAATTTGCAGATGTTGAAGTGGGTGCTTCTGTCTCAGACCTGCTTTTAGCCAAGTTTTAGGGATTTCATCTCCGTTCACTGGCATGTATTAGGTTCACCGTTACGAGAAATGTCCTGCTTGAGGTAACTTAGGGCTGATCATAAATAAGTTTGTCAGAGCTATGGGAAATTCCATGGTGTGCAGCTAAACATTTTGTGGTGTATTCCTTACCCAGCAAGTGAACAACACTTTAGTAAGACAGCAATTTCCCCCCTGATGATTTACACCCGGGGCAGCTAGCCTGAGCCGTTGCTCACCATGGTCCATGCTACCACGACTCCATTGCTATTTTTAGTCAGCTAGATCAATGAGAATTAGTGTGGGTGTGCCTACTCGAGAAAGGAATCACATCCCGACCTGCAAGTGTAGACAGAACCTGACACACGCCTCCCACCACCCTTCATCCCGGGAAAGTCTGCCTAGGGTTTTACAGATTTTACCAAAGTAATAGCTAAGATACCCAGAAAGTCTTCACCCCTATGGCTACACAGCAGCTGGGAGGTGTGATCTCCAGCCTGGGTAGACAGACGCATACTAGCATGTGGACTAGCAGTGTGGACGCTGCTGCATGGGCGGCCTCTTAGGCTAGTCGCCAAGCTTGGACCCAGGGGCTGAGCAGCGGTTCTTGTTTCACCTGGGCAAGGCTCTACCTGCGCTGAG